GCGTATACTCAGCAGCCTTCAGACTCGGAGATGCCACAGCCGAAATACGCAGCCGACTTCGTACCGCCCAAGGAAATTCCCCCGGTCTTGAGCGCACCAAACATGTCAGCACCGGACCTTCTGCGCTAGCCGACGTCTGCTTCGTCGCCACAACTCCTTCATTGGGGTTACCGCAATAGAAGGTGCCGACCTTGACGTCTCTCATTCCGAGCATCACGAAGCCCTAGCCGACTATCTTGGTATCTCTTATCCATAATTTATTCTCTGTAAGAAGCAAAGTTAAACAAGTCAGTCGCCTGTCCCTCTTTTTCATGCCCTTCGAAGCCTTGTCAAACATCGTATTTACCCGACTGCGGTCAAAATCTGAAAAATAGGCGCGCTTTTCCCCGACATTCACGTGATTTTTCTACTTTAAGGTTCTGTTTGAACACACACTTAAGACAAGACATTTGTTTGATTCGGTTGCTACTTGAAGGGTCTTTTATCCGCGATAAAAGGCGATTAAACGAATTGTTTGGTGATACCAGTTTTTGGTCTCACCAAACAATTCTCGTTAATCCAGATTTTTAATGACCCTTTTGATTAAACTGTTTTATGATAGTTTTTGGATGGCAATCACTGGGTGCCTACTTAGAATGTTCTACTAAGTAGGGTTAGGGCGCATTAAAAGGTGTATTAAACTTGCCGATTAAACTTGAATTGTTTGATAAGACCAAAAAGTGGTCGGATCAAACAATTCATTAAACCGAGTTTGGTAATTTTTAATTGCACTCCGATTTAGCAACCCAATCTAAAATGAATCTAGAATTTAGTATGTGTACAAAGCGAAACTCCAAACGGGGAAGTCCTTACCCATTGAAGTTTGAATATCTTCAAGGGACTACAGTAGAGGGTGATAGCCATTTTCTCCATCCATTATTCGCTCCAAGTCGGCTGGAGCCATGGTGTAGTGCTTACTTTTAAACCCGCCTGGGGAGGGCAAGCTCTACTGTCCTGTCAACGTTTCATAACGACGCGCCACGGAGAGCTTTGCCGGCCTGAGCATTGGCTCCCTACTCCTTAACTGTTGTGTGTACCATGTACGAAGAAGGGTGTTCTCATAGTATCGTTGCTTTTCAATACATGTCTCCAATTGGTCTCTAGGCTCTCGGCAGCGTTTCCCGCACTCGCATGCTGAGTACCTTGCCTTCGTTAATTGAAACAACAACTTGCGCGGATCGAGTAATGTATTGTTTTACGGATTATCTACTCTGCATGCAAGAATTAAATTTATTATCTTTGCTTTGCTCAATTGAAACTATCCACTCCGCGAACATGAAGATTATAAGGTCGACCTGTGATCGACCTGACAGCCCGCTGCAGCAGGGCGAAGCTCAACTTACCCGCAATCTCGCCACCTCTTCAGCTTCGTTCGGGTCCGGTCATTCGTCATTCACATATCGTAGAGGCTGCAACGATGGAGGCGGAATCTCTATCCTTCTACGAGAAGTCGTCCGATCTCTCGTCGCAGGACTCAAACGCTGTTGTTTCTTCGTCGCAACCTGAAGCGCTGACCTCGGTCTCCCCGGATGCATCTCAAGATTCAATCATTGCCATTTGGTCGCCGCCCAGTACCAACCTCCCCGATTCATGTACTACGAGAAGTCTGGCACCCAGTTCACCAAACACGAGGCCGTCTGCTCCGAATACTACAAGTCTTCTGTCGAACAGTGGAATCCACGTAAGTGAAAATTTTCTAAGCATAGCGTGGGCAAATGAGATGGAGCCGGTTGTGCTTGTGAAACCCGATGCAATCCGGCAACGTGCATCAATTCCAAGGAGCTTCGATTCTGTTGCGAACAGAACTGTGTCTTGTGAGGTAAATGCGGGAATGGTCTTAGAGAACATCCATCGCTGGTTATCGCTCGGAGATCGCGGTCGGGAATGCGAGGTCTAGTGGCGACCAGTACCATACCGGCCGGAGAGATACTGGGCCAGTATCTAGGCCACCTACTATTTCTTGGACCTCCTTGTATAAACGGATCCGCCAATAAGGGCTTCCGCATGCATATCAAGACTAGGGCTAAAGGCAATCAGTATTTGGGCATCGACGCCCTTCGAATGGGCTGTAAGATTTGGATGATGAACTATGCCTGCAAACCTGCGGCGAGATTTCACGAGCTCCAAACTAACAGTGTAGTTACAGTGGTAGTTGTATCACTACGCCACATCAACCGCGGTGAAGAGGTCACGGTATCGTACGGCAACCGACTATGGTTCATCTGCCGGAGTGGGTGGTCGGGCTGTCAGCACCGCGACATCCAGCACTTGTTGGACTTCTGTCCGGAACGTGCGTGCTGATGTGGCATGCATCGAGTCTACAGTTACAATGGTGCTAAGGCTTTACCAATCGCATAGATAACCGCTAAAAAAAATTGATTGAACCAAGGCTTTTTTATAACTGATTTTTTACTTTTTCGCCAATTGTAGCTGCCCATAAAAAGGAATTTGCCGAGTCGTGACTAGTGCTGTCGACGTCGAATGTTATCCGGATGCTACAAGAGATAACGCTAAATCTCGTTAAAGCGTAGTTGACGTCATATTTAGCGGAGGGATAACGCTGTAATAAAACACATACTCACAGGTCACTTTACGCAATACAAGAAAGTAGATTGTGGAGGGGATCACACTATGCCATTTTACTTGTGGCAGCGAGCGTGCATCAGTGGACACGGCCATGCTTGCGTAAGTGACGTGTAGCGGCTACTAACCAAGCACTCCAGCTGGTAGCCTCAACAGAAGATCTCTTAGACGTGCAGTACTCGCAGCCGGCATGCGATAGACGTACTCGCCTGTCGACCAAGCCTCCCGAGACATGCTCCGGGATCGAGTTCCGACCGCGTACACGCCCAGGCTCACCGCATCTTCGGTCTACCAGGGGTATGCTTATCGCTCAATAAGGGCACTAGTTTTGCGATCTAACAAACGATTGACCTCTTTTGTTTTAGAAACGGTGCTCGCTCGGCCACAGCCGTCGTACAGGAAGACAAGTGCTTCATCTACAGGAGTTTACGGCCCGAAACAATGCGAAATGGTAATCGTGCCGAAACTTACCGACCATTGACACTACATGATGAGAGCACCAAGGTACCAAAATGCTGCCCATGCTTGCTCAAGGCTTCTACATGCGGCAATTCTGCTTTCATTTTGGCCGTGCCCGAGAGCTGTGTGCATGTTTATAACATTCAGAATGAGCATTTACGGAGACGGCCTCGCTTCGTAGAATCAGACGACAAAGTAAGCGCGCTCGCAGGATATCCCAATGAACCACTACCCAGCAAGAGGGCATTCCAACCCAAAACGAGACGGCAACTTTTAGGACCGCTCTTCAGCGCGCTCGACATATATATTTGCTGCACCAAGAAAATATTAAATAAACAGAGATAGCAGAGCTGCTTGCGAAAGCTAACTCCACATCGACTTTGCACCACGACATCTTCCTGATACGAGATGTTGTTGTGAGCTGGAACGTGCTCACAGGGCTGGTCATTGACGGGTATGTGCGCTCTTCAAGGCCACCCTTTAATGTGGCAAACCATTTTTCTGAACGTGGGGCTCGTGTCAGTACCACATATTAGATGTATCGATGATGGGGTACCAATTTGCGTGTCAATGATTGGTTCTGCACAGCATTATTGCTGGTTTTGTCCAATAACAGCACGATTTGTCGTGATGCTATCCAGCTGTTAAAGGGGTGTAAATTAATAACGATAACATCCACTTGGCTTCGACGAAGGATAATGTCGACAGATGTCTAATTTTGATAACGTCGACAGCACTAGTCGTGACACAAGTGAAATCACACAAAAAACACTTGGGCGTGTCATGGCTGGAGTAAGGTTCAGTTTTTCTAGTAAGCGTTGGTGGTGGATATCTTTGCTCATTATTATTGCCCACATTTTGGACGAGAGGGAGACGCGTTGGATACAACAACTACACCGTCCAGGACCAACTTCCCTTGTGTCAAGTCGTGAAGAACATCGTTTTACTGGGAAGGAACATGTCGGAGCAAGTCGCTATTCAGTACAACGCCAGTCGAACAAAGGGGGTTCACCCGAGCGTGACTTCGAGTCACTTAGACGCAAAGGCGGTGTGCTCACATCTTACGACGGCTTGGATGGGGGGGGCAAGAGTTCGAGAAGGACGTTGAGGAAGCTGATCCTGGTATAGACGCGACCAGAAGGGGGCAACAAGGCACTGCACATACTATCCACGCCACTGCAGAAACATCTGCAGGCCTGGTAGCTGGATATACCGAGGAATACGGAGGCGGCTCGAATACTGAGGGAGACGGAAGTGATATCACTTAATACGCTCAGCAGCTGGCTTCTCCTACGTAGGACGCCCAGGTCTGCAGCCAACACGTGGGTACAGAAACCACACGCCAAGGACTGATCGATGCACGTTTGGTAGCAGAGTGCGTTTTTTTCAACGACGAGGCCTCTGAGGTTGGAGATGCAGTCGACGAGGCTGCAACAGACTCGATTGACAACAACGCATCCAGTAGCCGCCAGCCTGGGGATCCCGGCTCACGCGATTCCACCAGATCAAGATCTTCTAATCAACAAGGAACACCACGAGGAGCTGTACGACCCAGAGCTGCTCGTGGCGGTACCCTCCCCACTTCGGCCACCCCGGATGGCTCCAACCTGACGCGGGATCCAAGTCGAGGGCCCTCCGACGCACGCTCAATCGATGCGAATCGAAGACTAAGTATCTCCAGCAACAGGCTAGGAGGCCAGGATCTCCGGGTGTTGCATGACAACGTCTCAGACATGACGCAACGTCTAATCAACGACAACGGCAATCGATTGAGCTCTGAGGCTACACGCACAGACGGTGCGCACGACTCGACGCCTTACATGAATAAAAGCGACTAAAAGCAAAGCAGAGACTGAATGAAATTGAGAGGGACTTCGAGCGTTTCGAGAAGAAACAGTCATCCAAGGGGGGTTCAGTTGATGCAAATGATCGTCTTACTTCAGAAGAAAATCGATCGCAGAGCAGAAGACGAGGATCGCCGTCGGAGATCTGAAAGAGAAGCCAGACTCGAGAATGAAAAGAGAGAGAGAGAACAGAAAGAGAGGAGGTTCGTAAGCAGGAGGCAGAAGCTGCCTAGCGCCGCAGACTCGCCTCTGAGGAAACTACCCGATCGCTGCGCGAGGAACAACGACGCGAAGAAAAACTACGACAAGCACGAATCGACCAAGAATGGGAAGAGAACAAACGGCGGTTCGAGGAACGTCTAGCACTTGACCGCGAAGAAGCGAGGCAGTGTCACGAGCAAATGATGCTAGCGGTAACCAACCTTCAGAGAAAGTAAAAAGGGTGTAATAACTACAGCTCGAAATCAAAATTACGTTTTCAGTGTTATCGGTTGTCTTCTCTACCATATACAAACGTGGTGCGTATTTGGCTAACTGGAACGGTCCGGACTCGGTAGCTAGCTAGACGGAAGATATTGTCGAGGCGGACTTGGCATTTTTTCCTTGTCGTTAGCAAGGGTTGTAGTAGGTGTCTGTATATTTTTCTATCCCCATTCAGCGCTTTAACAAACGAATGTAATGACCGAAGACTTAAGCGTAGCTGCCCTTCTAACCGATGGTACCAGTCTTCCTAGGTCGCCCTCCTTAAGAGGTGTCATTATCCGACCAACCATCTCAGCGCCGCAAGAAAAAGCTCTGTCTACAATGCCGAAACCAGGGAGTTCCGGTCACATACACTGCGTGTAGCCATCCATTGTAGTAAGCTTTTTGGGCATCGCGTTGAGGAGGCTCCTGCACCTACATAACCGCGAATGTGTTATTTAGAATTAATACAGATACTCCGAACAAACTTCTAACTTAATCTAGATTTAATACATACCCGATAGTTCTTCCCATATAGGAACCCCCACGTGAAAGGTAGCGGCGGAGATCGTGCAGATGTTATGCGTCCCAAACAGCGCTGACGAGTGAGAGTAGGCCACACTATACTACCTGGAGAGAACCCAACAAGGCAGCGTCGTAGGGCTTCCTCTGCACTTGACAGCACACGGCTAAAGGCTTAATGCGGAACACCAAACGAAGAACACATCAATTTATGCTGCATTGAGTCCACGTAGAACGCTAGAAGAAGTCCAAGAACTTGATGATGGTTTTGTAGCTTCCGCGGGCGGACTCCTCTCGGTCTGAAGCGTTGAATGTCGTAGAAAGGTACGAATCGTTCAAGCAGTGTGGGGAACGAAGACCTAATACAATTACAAAGTAAATCAAGAGCTGATTTGGTAAAGCACCATGACTCGCTAATTATTAACATGGTGTTGGTTTGCTTTACATTATGCTCTTATTTATTGTTTGTGCGCAGTACATGACATAATGTATGTGATGACACTAGCTGCCCAATGCCATTATTTATGGTTAAAGAGGGTATCATTAAATAACAATGTTATAATCGGGAGCCCTGAGCAAGAACCTGCTATCACACTGGAGGCAGGGGACCAAGGCTTTGACATTGAGTGTCTTAAGCGAAAGGACAAAAGAGTGTACGATATCTGGAAGAAGGACGCAAAGTTACTAGAAGTGGGCCGAAATGTGCACTTTTGATGCTCAGAACTCATTTCTTTCGGAGCACGACAAAGAACAGAAAGCGGTGAAGGAGCGGACATCTTCGAGCCGGCCTTCACCACGTGCAATCATCACTGCTGACGATGCAGCGTATTGGCAAAGATGGCACGAGCGGCTGGGCCAGTTGTGCCCCCAGTAAGGATGATACTCGATCGCGGCTTCGTTAGCGGTATGATGCTGTGGCAGCGCAGATTTGCTGGCTGCGAAGCATGCCATTTGGGGGGCAGATTAAACCTACGCTAGAACTTGAGATCAAGCAAAAGAACCAGGTTTTTTATTCCTCACCAGAACTCCAGTGCGAAAGACACCAAGGATATGCTAGCTATAAAACATAGCTACTCTCGCTATATAACGGTCTATGCGCTAAAGTCAAAGACGACCTCGCGGTAAATGCAGCCTTGTGACGTTACATCGCTTGAGCCTAGCGCCAGTTCAGCAAGTGCGAAATGCTGAAGGTCAGTGGCAAAGCGTTGGTTAGCGAGGCGATAAACCATTGATGTCAGCAACAATAGATCGCGTTGATGCCATACCCTCCCAATGGTTCGCACCTGAACCTGACAGAATGATAAAATCAGACGTTGAAGCACATGTTGAAGACCATGCTCAACATGACAGGCTTGATGAAGCCTCACGTTTGGATGCATGCTCTGGAGGTGGCTACATTCCTTCGCAATCGATCGTGTCAAAAAGCTACGCCGTATTGCCTGATGATGAACAAGAAACTTGACCTACATCGTCTGAGAAGATTCGTATCTATTGCCTACGTACACCTAGCCAAGGACCCGACGCGCGAAAGCTAGACAACAATTGCCGCATTGGTTTTGTGGTCGGTTATCTGGTGGATCAGCCAGGGTACGAAGTCTACTTCCCAGCAGAGAGGGTGGTGGACCACGTCCTGCATGCGTCTATTAACAAGGAAATCCTCTATACGGACCGCTACGAGGAAGGCTACCACAAAATTGTGACAAACTGGCTTTCGTCGGTGGTTGAAGATTCAAGTGGAGGAGAGGCATCTAGCAGTATCTACAGGAGCGCCATTGACGAAGCAGGCCTTGCTGTTGAGGCGGCCGACGACCCATCCGTTGATTTGTCAAAATTACCAAACTATGAGGAGCTTCATATGTTTCCACCGGCTGAGCACACACACACTATTCCACAATCGAGTCTTTAGACAACGAGCAATTGGTAGTTGAATAGTGTATGAGCATGCCGATATGTACTGCGCTTCCAACTTTGAAGGCAGCACAAGTTGCAGGGGACGCTAGTCAAAATGAAACGACGTCTCGATCTGACGGTTTCCTCAAAGCCCGACAAAGGCTCCACATCTAGAGGGTGTAACAGCTCAAAACGGGGATCAACCTGCTGAAAATCACGCGTTTGGGGACAATGTTCTGGAGGAGAAAGCTCCAGAAGGCGATATTTGTAGCAAATCATGCGAGTCTATGCTTGCTGAACCAGCTATGAATGAAGTGACACCTCTAAATGAGTCACCCTTGTCGTCATCGGAAATTGAGGAGCAAACGTGCGGTAAACTCCTCAAAACCGATAAACTCTCCGCCTTGAGAGTAAGCTATCTCAAAATTCTGACGAAGCACGCGTATACCGCAATGGAGAAGATAGTTCACCTGCTGCAAGTGATTGGACGTTACGTTCGCTATGGAGCAGACTCGATGTCGTAGATGGCTACGACTACGGACATCTTAAACGCTTTGAATCTCAGCACCTATCTGCGAAGCCTATCGGATAGAATACGGTAGATGTATTCGCGCTGAAGCGTGAACCTAAGTTCTTGCAGAAAATAATTTACCAGAGAATCAAATTCTGAGTCTGAAGTAGCTCGATGGTATATCAAGAATATTACGATGTCTCGGAGCTTTCAAAAGGCTATGTGCTCGCCTCAAAGTCGCGAGTGGCTAGAAGGAATGAAATGTGAGGTCGATGTAATGTTCAAGAAAAAAGTGTTCGAGCTGATCGACGAATGTGAGATGCCGATTAAGGCGCATCTACTGAGTTCCATTTGGCGATTTCAAGGCAAGGCGATGATGAAGGATTCGTAAACGGTGACGACCTCGATTGGCTGGACGTGTTGACTCGTATGGAGTCTGGCCGTGTAGTCATCGATATTGCGGTTAAGTTAGGACTCGATTTGTATCAAGATGATATTAATACAGCCTACTTGAATGCTGCTCTAGCAGTACATTCGTGGGTCCCATGATTTCCTGTGCCCGAGAGGACAAGCGTATCGCACTTTTCGGTCTTCACCAGTCTGTGCAGAATGGTTTGAAAAAAATCAATCGTTGGCTGACGTCGATGGGATTTGTGAGTACGCAAACAGAGCCGTGTCTATATGTCTTCTACAAGACGGCGTATTTGCAATATTTCCATTGTATGTCAACGATGTTGTACGCGCTACAAGCTCGGTGGTTGTTTGTAGCGTTTAACGCTAATTATGACTTCAATGACGGAAATAAACTACATTCGTTTCTGGGAGTGCAGGTTGAGCAAAGTGATAAGTGAATTCGCATTCACCAAGAAAAGTACTTCAACGAGATCTTAGAGCGCTCCGGATTTGACAGTGCTCACGGCTGTGCGACCCTAATGGAGACGATGGCAAATTGCAGTCAAAGCACGGATGGACAAGATGGTGAACTGTCGCTCGACTATCGAGGTGCTACTGGGGCATTTATCTACCTAGCTACAAGCTTTCGACCCGATATTGCCTACTCTGCCGACTACCTTAGACTAACCCAAGGAAGAAGCACTGTGGCGATGTCAAACGTACCCTACGCAACATGTCAACAAAGAACTTGAGAGTTGTAAAATCGCCGGATTGCACGGGTGCCAAGGCGATCGTGCTACAGGTGACCCATGCGTGAAGGTCACTGAAGTGTCTTACATTGTATTTACCTTTTGGCAGCTCAGTCTCCCTTTGACAAGAAAGATAACACATTAGTGACGAGAACGTTGAAGACTAAGCATTCTATAGGAACGTTGTGTTTGTATTACATAGGATTCCTAGCTTACGCCTACGAGCAGTTCTGCACAATCATTGAACGCGTAACTACAGTATTGCACAGGTCTAACATATACATACTTACTGGTCAGAACTGGAATAGCGTTCTTGCCTTCGTTCTGATCAGATGCCTCTAATGTCAGGACTAAGAAAATACGTATGCATTTAGAAAAGATAGTTGAGGTACGGGTCGTCAACAACTGCTTCTACTACCATTCCTTAATGGCTTTAAATATTATTATGTATTATTATTAACCCCTCTGTTACCAACGTCGTAAGTTACGACTTTGAGTAGGGCGAAAGTCGTAACTTACGACGTAATTCGAGCCTTCAAACAGAAAATGGCTCGAAAAAAGAGGACACGATACTTTAACCAAGTCAAAGTTTGGAGGCAAATTAT